AGATAATAATAAATCCTTCCATCTAACATTAATTCCACATCAAATCGAAAATTTTTACCGGGAAATATCTAATGCGCCCGTAAGATTTAGTCGTAGAATCTTGTCAGCTCGACCTATTTTCCGAAGGCGAGGGCACATTTGATGCCGAGGTCTAAAGCGAAGACGGGCACTGCTTCTTCCTATAATGCAGTAGAAGAAGTGATCTGGACCTTTTTCTTTGCTACAGGAGCAAGTCATTGAGGCATCCTCGTGTGCAAAACTTCAATGGTATCACCATTTTGGATAACAACAAAAAATTATATAAGCCTATTGAATCACTTCATCAAGTGTCATTCCAGTATCCTGTGAAAGTTAAATCGACCTCTCGTAGAACCCATGATATACAGATGGCGTTAAAAGAAGAAGAAAAAAAATGAATAATTTATAGCATGATTCCGTTCCAATCAGACTTGTGGTTGAGCTCTTTCGATGAAATTTGTGACAAGCAACCAGCTATCAAGCCCATGAATTCCCTCCGCTGAAGCAATGGTCTAAGATGTGCTGGATGTGAAATTTTCACAGTTTCGCAAATAACAGAACTTGAAAACTTGGAGAAAATCGAGTTTCCACCCAACTTTAAGTTGATACACGTCCAGAATAGATATGGTCAGGGATAGTGTCGGGAAATACAGACTCCAGATGGCTTTTTGGCTTGGATGTAGTCAAACGTCAGACTCCCTGGGCTATTATCGACGGGTATGGAGCGTGTTAGAGGCTAGATAATTTTAGTGTCATCGAGATGAGCTAGGAATAATCAGGTTCAAATAGGCGTCAAATTTCACAGGTTTTAGGGAAGATCATAAATAATTAATCCAAATCATCCATGCAGTGCCTAATTATACACTCAACAAAATAGAAATTCTGTGTCAACGTGGAGATAAGCCTCGTAGCGCCAGAAGTGGCAATAGGAAAAGTGGTAAAGGGAGTTCCCTTCTCTACGGCGAGTAGGTGGGGGACTATTCTCAACACCTGTCAGTGCTGTCCCCTACGAACCTCTAGCTCTCATTGTTGAGTCTGCAGAGCCGAGATTGAGAAATACCACCTTTTCAACTTTGAGCAGAGTTATCTCCCCCTCCGTCAAAGATACGCTTCCGATAACACATAAGACGACCAAGATGATCATAATGATGCTGGAAATGGGGAAAGATAATGCGGTATCAAACGCTACAACGGTAGTCAGAGAAGCCCTCGTTATATCATAACATGTGCTACCCACCGGCGGGCGAACAAAAAGCCCACGAAAGCATAGTAAAAGATCCTTCCGTCCTTAAGAAAAGCATATTTCAACTAGTCCACAATATCGTCCCTACTAATCTATACCTCCGAATCTACTAGCCAGGAGGGCATCTGAAATACATGAGTTACTCGGCAACCCCACGTCCGTAACGACTTTTGGATGCTAGGTTAGGCTCCTTCACGGCAGTTACTCTCGACCAAGAATTTTCTGACATCTTTTCCTGACCTTCGATTTGTCCTGCAGCATGAATCAGGGAAGGAGTAAGGAGGAGGCTAGAAAGGTTGAGAGACACTCTTAGGTATACACAGGTCTGCTGCGCCCGGCTGGCCAGCCTCTTCGTCATAGGAGAACTCCGCACCCAGTGGTTTTTGAGACTTTTCCCTGCAGCTACACACCCACAAATGGCAATCGTTTCGTTGGCTGGAGAGGGGAGATAATGACGGGATAACGGCTCCTCTTGGTTTGTACTCTAATGAAGACCTGTGGGGATATTAATGTCACAGTTCGAGGTATAGATGCTGGGGCGATCAAATATACGAAGGTTATTTATTATTTTCTATACCACAATATGTGTGCCCTAACTCAACTATTTATACACTTATTAGGCTATCTAGAATATTCCTTCCTGTCTGATACTAGCCTCTGTTATGTTTCCCTGATACCAGTTCACAGTCTCGATGCCAGTTGCTAGAATCCTCTAGTCATGTTCAGAATAAACTAGAGTGAAGTTTCGCCTTTCACAGAATTGTTGAGTCACGTGATTAACATCACGTGATACAGGACAATTATCGGCTCACTAGCCGTTTCAATTACTGCTGGAAAGAAGTCGTGAGGGAGGCAAAGGAGGGAGTACACTACCCGAGGCATAGATACTTCCAGCCTGTAGGCAGAAAGGACCTAAATATCCTTACATAGTTATAAACTTTTTAGGACAATAAATTCTCACTCACAGCTAGCAGATGATCTTCTCCAGCTTACTGTGTCATAAGTATCATAGGGGACCAAAATCACGTGCACTGAAATACAAAACCTGATGTCGGTGATTATATAAGCTTCCTCAGCTCTTGGTCAGCTCGATCATGCAACGCCGGGGTAGCTCACACTTATAGTATTTGATCCCTGTAGAGTAAGCTGTGCTTGATGAAGGGATAAGATTATCAAGCTCCATCCTAGAAATCAATGATACCAAGCCGTCAATTCAAGAGACCGAACTGGACAGGGTAAAATACGAAGCAGGTTTAAGGAACACAATTAGCGATCCGGTGCGTGGAATCGTAAGTGAGTGGATTTCAAAAAGCTTGAACTACACACACTGCTCTTAGAACGTTTTAATTGGTTGTGGCTCAGCAATTGCTGCTGCGTTGGCCTTGACGATCACCCAGATCTCGCGGAACTGCGCAGGGGCGTTGCGGAAAATATTATGTCCGAATATATCAAATGATGACATTTGAATCCCATGCGCTCGAATGTCAGTATCCTGCAGTCATATTCGCCGCTCCCGATTCCGATAAAGCTTCAACTAGGGGGTTAGATTTATGTCAAAGAAATTCTCAAGAGTCACTCGGATCCTAAATCGGCTGACAGGGAAGAGGTATGTTTGGGGGAGACGATGCTTGAAGTCGGATCACATCGAGCAGATGAAAGTGAATCTCGCCACATGGCACAGGGCTAGATGATGGGCGTTGTGAATCTACTTATGCATAAACTGTATCTTAGACCCTGCACGGTAGATGCAAGCTGTTGTAGTAAAATTAGGACTATCAATATGATCAGGTTCGTTTCAATACACATAGTTGCCACCAATGTTAAACCTGTGCTGGTTTTGAATAAAATCATGTCTGGCTGCATGCATTACCTCGTATTGGTCAAGGGGTTCAGCCTCGATATAGCCGACCTTGACATTAATTATCTAATGGGACGATACTAAAAATCCTTCGTTCCTGTGATCTCTAAATGTCTACCTTCTCTGAAAATTAGTGGTTTGCAACTTTCATTACAAAGGTAGAGTACAAGTAGTCTTTATCTGTGATTCTTCAAGTGCTATTACTTTCATTGAGGTGTTCGCCAATAGGAATGCCATTGGAGTTGACGGAGGCTATAACTGGAAGCCTGGGACGACTTTGAAACGGGCGATAGTCGAAGCTTTAGCGGAGGAGAGCTCAGGGTTTAAATTAACCTTTTAAAATAAAGTATGGCATTCCTCAAAAAGGAGGGACTTTCCTCTCACACGGTACCGTGGAAACAGCCCAGAAATTCGATTCCATCTTTAGCTCGTCATGAAAGCTGCCATCTTGTTCAGAAATCGTAATGTCGATCAACAGCTTGGTAATCCACGATGCCTGGCCGGACGAGGCCCGGTTGGGCGCTTCCAACGATGCTTACTAATCACTCAAGGGTAACATAAGCAGCCGCGCTTGGTAGTGCATGATTGGACAGTAATGAGATACTTGACGAGGATTTTCGGTAACGCCGAGTGGCCCACAAGAACTTCAATCAAACAGTCGATCACCCTACCTGCTCGTCTGGCGCGAGCCAATGGAGCAAACGGAGGCGGGATGAGAAATGGACTACTGAAACACATATATTGCTCGAGCGCCAGTGAAGTAGGGGCCTCTGCTAAACAATCCATTTGCTTGAAGAAAGCTCCCTTGTACCCGTTCTAAATTAGATACAAGCGAACTTCAGCGTTTCTAGCAGTATTAATATTCCCTCTCTTCTATGCTTATCCTGCCTCTCTGATCCATCCGAACCTTGCACTACCATGGTCAATGAGTTATTGCCCAGATGCAGCTATTTTTCTGGCCACTCGGATGAATGATAGAGCCTGCACAGGGCAACCGTGCCCTGGAAAGCTAGCAAGACCCCTTGGTCCGGACTGCTTAGGGCATTGGGCTTAATGGCGATATACTGACGGACATGGGTATGAGGCATGCCCAGAACTTCTTATGAATGATTTCCTTGGCGATTTCGCATGGAAAACGGCTATCGCGGAGTGATTGGTGATACCACCAAACATCACGCCGAGAAGCTAGACGCGATCTCATTAATGAGGAAATCAGAAATGATACCTACTCAGGCGAGTTCAGAAACAAAATTCAATCAGATATTGAAAAAACAATTCCAATTCGCCGTCGCCGCCCTAGTCTTTTCCCCACCATGATCTGTACATCCAACGTCTCTAGTCAACGCTGCTGCATGTGGCCCTCCCCAGCAGACATCGGACCTGCCGTCAAAATATAGCAGCAGGTCGGTCCAAACGTGCACCTGAACATGAGAGGCAGAGACATGTCTGAGGGCAGCCCCCCATCTCCACACGAAGCTTGTACCGCCTGTCCGCCTCCTCCAAAAATAGATGATTTAGTGTAAATAGCCAGCCGTTAGAGCTGAGTAGTCAGGTAGGGCCCGTCTGCAGCAAGATTTCTCATATCTATATTCCCATTATCTCAAACTAATAATGAGTATAGCCTTCCATGATCATTGGAATGCTCTGGACTCTTCTGACACTGACATCGTGATATCAGTACGGTCATAAGTCCTCTTCGTCAGCCCGCATGATCTACAAAATTAGCACATATTTTAAGCGTTTTAATGTACCATAATCTTCTAGTCTTCCTTGCCCGTCGGCGAACTGGTTGATTCTGTCGTACGCAAGGCAGCACGCATACATTCAACACTCTTTTCTCCACTGCTAGGCCATCATCTTTCCTCAAATTAGTTGAGAGACATGGAGGGTAAGATTCGTGGTCTCGATCTCGAGAGAGAGTTGACTTGCTCGGTGAGTCTCTTCTCGATTAAAAATTTCACAACTCTACCCCCCACATTTGCCCTAACAACTGCAGATCTACATGTCATCGTACCATCACTGCTAACTTGAGCCTTTAGATTTGTACCGAGGTACTTTACGCTCCACGAACTCTCCTCGATTGTCTGCATACTTTTTGTGGCTCCTGTTTGAAGGAATGGTTTGCCTGGCAATTGAGCTCGTGGCGCGCCACTTCCAGCACCATCTTACCAGATTCGACGCCGTATACCTGCCCATCATGTCGTGCGCCAGTACGAGATACCAAACACAACTCATCCGTTACGACTCTGCTGGAAATGTTTTTGGCGGCAAATCCTGGAAAATGTAGGTCGCCCGAAGAGCTGGTAGAACTTCAAAAATACTATTCAATCGGCGATCATGTCCTACCCAAAGAGACAGAAAGAAAGCGAAAAACATTGCGAGAGAGACAAATCGAAGAAGCTGATAGGAGAATGGTTGACGAAGTCCGCCAGCTAAGTTTACGAGAGGTTGGCATGCAAGCTCCACAAACCAGGAGAGATCATGAGAGATATCAAAATCAAAGATTGCTAGAGACTAACTCACGAAGAAATCAGGATGAACCTGGCTCAAGAGAACGAAATCCAGAACGACACAGTCGACATAGCTCTTCACACTCCAACACGACTTCTCATCAAAGTAGGCGAAGTACTGAAGAGCGATCCTATAGACACGAAGACTCAAACCGCACAATTAATCAACAACATAATCATCAGTCACACAGCTCGCTATTAAGCTCGTCTGATGTCGATTCTAAAAAAATAGAAGAGGAAATATTACGTCAGATTAGAGAGGAAGGCCTTCTAGATGGAATTGACTTGGAAAATATTGACGTACGCCAGGAAGATTTAATTAGCGAAAGAATCGCCGAGGCTTTTCGGAGGCGGCAGAATGAACGAGCTAGGAAAGAACCAACGACAAGCCACTTTACTGCCAGTAGTAGGGATAGAAATATTTCCCTACCCGAGCCGCCCGATAAATCGGGTCATGAACAATTTCAATCAGCTACAAAAACACAATATAACCGCTCTAAAACCTCGAATAATACAAACGTAGGTTCTCATGCGAGGCAAAGTAGACCACCTCCGTCTATAAGTGTCGCACAGGCAGCACATTTAGAGGTTCACTCCAGTGATGAGTATAGTCAAAAGCATTGCCACGCCGGGCGCAGTAATAAAAAGAATTCGGAACTCAGCCCTACTAGTATGCGCTCATCAAGACCAATAACCAAGTCAGCGTATGACTTACGGGCTCGATCAAATGTTACCCTCTCTCAAAATCCTTGGCCAGCTACGTCGAAATCATCGCAAAGCAGTATTGATTTAACTACTCCTGGGCCTACATCTTTTGCCGTTACAGACCTACGCCCAAGACCGATGCGCCGTAGATGTAACTCGGGTTCACAAAGTACTGATGCGCTTCAGAAGGACGGGTTCTCTAATTGCAAAGAGCAAAGGCGCCAAGAGCCGCCTATTTCTAGCTCACTACCTCCATCAAAATCTTCGGTAAACGGTACTTCAGAGGAAATGAATCTTGTACCGGCACCCCTCTCTTTCCGAAAGACACTGCCAGATAATCTTAATACTCAATCCTATGTGCACTCTAGACCTTCATCTTCTTCTTCTAACTCGCGCAATCGATCGCCCCTATTCAAAGAACCACTCATAAACTGTGCAAGATGTTCAAAGCCACGAATTGAGTACGAATGGCATTATAACTGCGGTATATGCCTGGGTGGCTACTACAATGTCTGCCTATCCTGCTATCGACTGGGCCATGGGTGTTTATATTGGTTAGGAGTTGGTTCAGCGGCGTGGAAAAGGTGGAAGTACCTGCAGCAGTCTGGCGATGCAAGGATTGAAAAACCACATATTATGACCCCATGTCGCTACCTTCCGCCAAAGCTATCTACTTCTGGAACAACCGATACTAGATCAACATTAACAACCGAAGATCCCCAAAGTAGATTACAAAGTGGCACATTCTGCACAAGCTGCTTCGCCTGGACGAATAACTGTTACTGGCGATGCTATACTTGTAATGATGGCGACTGGGGGTTTTGTAATTCTTGTGTTAATCAAGGAAAATGTTGTACTCACCCAATCGTCCCTATGAGCTATGAGCCCAGATCTCGACAGAGACTATCCACAAATAACAATCAAAAACCCCCCTCAGCTCTCATCCTCAGCGGACCTGGTGTCACGGATCTCGGTCCCTTTAAACCTCTTTCTTTTTCCACCAAATGTGATATCTGTCGCTATCCGATCCAGCCCTCTCAGACTCGCTATCATTGTTTTTCTTGTTCAAGTACATTTTCTGACTCAACTCCGGGTGACTATGATATATGCACAAACTGTTATCCCAAGCTTATTTGGACACGCCGTATCAGTATTGAGAATGGTCCCAGTGGCTGGAGGCGCTGTTTACAGGGACATCGCATGGTTGTAGTTGGATTTGAAGATAAATTTGGTGGACAAGCGCGCACTCTTGTCGAAGATATGGTTGGTGGAAGATGTTTGCGACAAAAGTCGTACAATTCTATCGAGCTTAAAGATCAAGAACTTCAGCTATGGAGCTGGGGCGATGGAGTTCATGTTAGCGGCGACGATGCCCATAAAAAGATAACAACAACAGATGTTTCTAAAACCCCACCGGTCTCAGTGCCGGCTCAGACACAAGATATATCTTTTCCACCTAATGGTGGCACTGGTATGCGCGTGGTCGCTAAATGGGGCTGGTATCCGGTTAAAGGCGTAGATGACGAACTTCTCTTCCCTCGTGGTGCTGAGATCAGGGAGTGTAAGGATGTAAATGGCGATTGGTTTTATGGCAGTTACATGGGTCGGCAAGGTCTTTTTCCCTCGAACTATGTAAGAGTTATTGATGGCACTTCTTGAACTTGATGATGATAATGAATATATGCTTGATGGATTAAGATGTTGTACAATTGATTTTTTTCTTTGACCCAACTGTTCCTAAAATTTCAGTGCATATGAGATTATATTTTTATCCCTTCGTAGGCCTTTGCTTAATGAACCTCGCAAGACTTGGCCAATCCATCCACACTACCCAAATTCCCCAAGTTCCTCTCTTGAATGAAGTTATTTTTCATGCCATTACCGAGGTGCCCCTGGCGATATGCGAATTTCCATGCGACTAGCCCTCGCCATAATTAAATATTTTTTGATATCGGCACAAAATCCAGAGTCTCACTAAGTTTGAGATGGAATGATTGGAGGCCGGTAGATGTCTTGAATGAGATAGCTCCTGCGAATTTCTTGGCGTGATCGAGTCTATTATTTTTTATTAATTCATTTTATTGTCCTGTCTAAGTCTATGACTATGTAGGACATGCAGGTCCTCTCTGCCTACAGGCCAAGGATACCTATGCCAGTAGTATATCCTCTCCTATGCCTCCCATACAGCTCCCCCCAAACAGTACCGCCCCCAAAAAGTCCCCCTTCGATCATACATTTAGAAGAAGCCTTTTCCCTTCATCTTCCCTCGAGCCAAAAAGAATGGCCTTTTGCGGGTGTATGGCAGTCGGGGAAAATCGTAAAAACCACTGGGTGCGGGGCTCTTCTAATACCGACATTAGGACTAAATCCGAAGACATAGTAATCCTTCTGAAGCGCTCGAGGAGGCCGGCCAGCTGGACGCTGCAGACTTATGCGCACCTCGGGGAATTTACACTCTGCCTTTCTAGCCTCCTTTCAGCTCCTTCCCGAAGGTCGTGCTGACATATCAGGAAATTCTTGGCAGAGCGTGATCGAGTCTAGCAGCGGCTATGACTCGAGTTTCGACGGGATTTGCTAGTGATCAACTGGCTATTTTTCTGGGAACAGCGTTTCGGTAGGATGCCTCAGCGGTAAGTCTGAACTGGTATTCTAAGTAGGGTCTGACTAGCCCGGAAATCACCTCCTCTTACCCCATTATTGAACCGGCACATTTCTGATTAAGAATACTAGTACAGACAAATTCTTTTCTCGTCTTTACCCGAGTCAGATACTCACGGCTGAGGTTGGGATGATGATCCCAGGTAAGGTGGGTAGCGGTGAGGTTCCTGATGGATTAGTATGTGTGAAAAGAGAGATAAGCTTAGCTTTATGATGGCGCAGGTTACGGGTGTCTCGTGGCTCCAAACTACCAATGTGTATAGTAGAGCTTAAGACTAGATGTAACTTAATTTTCTATTAATACAGGATATCGTCTATTCAACTACAGTATTCCTTATCTTGCGCCCAGACTCCAACGTGAACAACATTACATGAGTGTTACAATTTATCAGAGCCTTGTACTAATCTAGAGGTCTTTCAATCTTGGATCCTCAGCGGTATGGGAAGGTGAGATCTATGGGAAGAATATACCAATTAATATCTATATATGCAACTTCCTTGGGAAGTGTCTCCGAAGTCTCAGGGGTCATATAAATGTGGGTTTCGATCGATCACAATTGAAACAGGATGGTGACAAAAATAACTCGTGGCTCTACTACAGCTAGTTCCGCAGAATGCAATAGTTAAGCTTGAGTTCTAATAAATTTGTCTGTATCATCTCCTAACTCCCAACTCCGAAATCTACACTTTGTGCGTAGCTTACTAATTATAGGCTAACCGCATTTAGTAGTCTATATTACATAACGTAGCCTGCTACGTTTAGGATCCACACAAAGCGCACTCATAGTGTTAATCATGTATCAAAACTTGGTATCTACACATGCTACATGATTCAATATTTTCTATAAAAATTGCCAGATATCTCATCATGCCCACTGCGTGCAAGGCTTACAACTGGCGAGTTGATGTCTGTAGAAATCGTGAGGCTTTGAGTTATTATTAATTCATTTATTTTCTTTTTGAATTTTGAACTGTAAAGGACAAACTGTTAAAAACGTCATATCTCTCACATCCTAATCTGGGTCTCCCAATAATTGTTCACTAGGGTATGGCGCTTGGAGCTAGTCAGAAAGCAACGGAGGGAGCAAACAAGTTGTGGTATGGGCACCCTTTCTGGGTAGGCAGAGATGATGGCCCACTTCTACATCGTCTATAGCGTAGTAAGGGCCGGCAAATGCCATGCCATTACGCGACAAGGCTGAGACTCTTGAATGGTATTTTTCTGACTTACTTCGTGCAGCTAAATATGGTATCGGACACAAACTGTGCACCCAACACCGTAGCGCTGTTGACACCCACCGGATAATCCCCAGATACGGGGGCCGGTGCACAGGAGCGTGATCTTCGACGTAGGAGAGCGGTATGCGCGTGCCGCCGTCACCAGAGATACTGCTATGGTGGGGTGGCCTACCGGTGCACCGTCATACGAGGCTCGCAAATTAGAGCTGGCATCGTTTGGGCGCTAAGCGGAATACACGTGAGACGATTGCATTCATTCTCGTGGCACCCAACCACATGACCAGCGGGTGCGGCATCTTATAATGGCCATGGCATTTCTGTTTCCCTAGAGGCTGTGAGTTCTGTTGGAGAAATTTTCACATCAAGGACTGACTCAGTTGAATAAAGGACTTCATTCGTGCCAGTGCCTCTAGCAGTACGGAGTGCCGACGTCTCGCCATGGAAAGCGCTAGTTACGTCAACATTGGTGAAAATCCACCAGATACAAGTCGCGAAGTAAAAAATGAGTGAAAATTGTATGTCCTTTATCTCTATAACAACTGATGCAACGAACAAGAAGAAGGCTTGTTACGAAGATCTCTATAAGTGTGTGATGTTGATTAATTGTCAATTGATTACACCGCAAAGTCCCACTCAATAAATTACAATATAAAATTCTCATTTTTCACGTATTGTTACCACGCCGCTTGTACCACATCTCTCTCGATCGATATTATCGCTATCAAAATATCGTGTGTACAACACCATGAACACCGCCGCCCTCATGTAGGCGTATCAGGCCTTCTGAACGTTTGCTTGAGTTCTGCACCATGTGCAGATGTTTTTTTCATGACTACAATTCTTGATATGAACACAATGTAGCAGTAGAACTCATCTTTGTTTGCAGAAGGTAATCGCCTTTGGGTCCTGCAGACTTACGTGCCGACCTCAGTCATACCTAGAGATCACATGCCATTGACCTTGCGGCCAATATTAGCTCCGTCCCAGCGCGATATTCAGCCATCAGACTGGACTGTCCAAGTATCGAGCAAGAGTAAAGTTCAGTCAGAGGCTGTAATCAGGGGGGGGGGGGGGGTGAAAACTCGATATCTATCAGTCGTCTCCCTCAAAAACTTCATCTCCAAACGTAGATTTACAGAGTCGAAATTGACTCCTGGATTAGGCAGAAGGATTTCTTTTGCTATTGAGTCTACGGCACCCTCTACTGTTCAAGACAGCACAAAAAGATTGAGTTGGGCTACTTTGCAGCATAAATTACTTGCTATGATTTTTCTAGTATTTCAATGCGACCTAAGAAGTCGGAGATTTCTTCTCGTAGATGTAAGCAAGTATGCGGTGTACAGCTAACCAGCCTCTCCGAACGATTCAGATGGGTAGCCAGGTCTTCTGATCTTGTCCTGATGCCAGTGTTGGAAAAGTCTTACGCCTAGTTGGGGTAGAAAGTTTTCATAACTAGTACATACGGGCTAATGGTCTCCATTCTACTTGATGGGAGGGGAAAGCAGTAAGATTTGAATGGGCTTCCCTAAGCATATGACTGAACGAAGACTTGTGAGGAGAGGCTCCTTTGGATGAGAGCCGCAAATGAGGCATAGTAGAAGATGTGCTACTAGTTGGGTATCCTTGGCCCATTGGCGGAAAGGACAATCAACTCCAGAAATTAACTCCTGATCTGGAGACGACTAGAGCAAGCAGTCAGTGGATGCAGACAACTTCAAAGAATAATTTATGTTTTTTTTGTGTGAGAGGTCATGACAATAGCATTGTACCAGAGACCGCAGACCAAATGCCTTTCAGCGCTATCCTCTGCCAGCCTGGGAGTGAGATATCCTCCCCGACCCGATCTAATTCAAATATAGCTATACCAAAGAAGTTGGCTCGCGAGTCAACACTTCAACACCATCCACCCTACCAATCTTTCTCTCGCAGCGAGTTCGATTCCAACAAGCACAACCCCATATATCTTTATTTCAACAAACACACCTCTCATCGACTCGGTCTCTAATCTTAGCTCGCCTTAAAATACCCGCACACGACAACTTGGGCGCTCGCAGGAGGACATAAATCATGGCGCCTAAGTCAGTCCACGTAAATTTTGTGATCAGGGTGTCAGGGATAGCTAAGGCGGTGCTCAGTATGTATATAATCTCGAAAAGGTTGAGGTTTCGAATTTTGGAAAGGAACTTTTCCCCTTGGAGAGCATTGTACCTTCCACGACTTCATATCCGAGAGAGCAGTGACATTTGTACATCAAAATGGATGTGATAGACGACACAGTATAGCATTCATAGAATTTATTCTTCTCTTTGCTCGTTACTCTGGGACATGTCCACTGCAAAAGAAAACGCTGTTCAGTCTTAAATTCTGGCCTCCAGAGTCCCACCGATTCTTTTCAAAACGGCAGAAACCATACTGAAAGACAGCATCAGGGTCATTAAAATTTAAACGTAGTGTAGCCTCTTAGGCTGCTCACGTATAAAATACTCCGCTACGCAAGGCGTGATTAAAGATTTATAAACAAATTAAGGCTATTGCTATCGATCCTCTAAGCCTGCGGACCTACACAAATGATACATGTACACCCAGTAGAACTGGTCAGAGGCGATATTAGGAAAATTCCAGCCCGTACAGCGCTATTCTCTTTCAAAACTCCGAGGCCAGGTCATTTGTTAAGAATCATCTTCAGCACCAGCTGCCATAACTTCACCAAATAAGACGCCCTTGAAAACGATCGCCGGAAAATCTTCAGGCCACTCTCCGAATTCCTTGAGCCGTTGTATCCAGACGAGTTTTTGTGCTTCATTCAAGTCTTCCCATGTGCTTCCTGTCGGTATCTCCTCACTATCCTTCGTCTGTTCCGCTCCACTATCTTGCCTATGCAATATCGCTTTTATTTGCTCACCCTCACCACTTAGTACTACAATACCATCTAGCCCGTGATTTTCACCAGCAACAAATTTCTTCATTAGTTTTTCCAGGAGAACACTACTTGTTGAGTCTACGTTAATACTAGTTTCAGCGCTGATTGGAATAACTGTCCGAGTAATTGTAAATGTTGGCCGTAACATTGTCATTGAAACCTGAGGTATGTTTCGTATAATAGCTTCCTGCCATTGCACGGGAACATGTTCTCTGGCCCCGAGGTATAACGGAACCTCACCCCTTATCTCAAGTAAGGCCTGAATTATTATTGCAATAATGACAGCGAGGATGACACTTATTGAAAGCGCGGCACGTCTCAATACCCCAGTACCGCGAGGCTTTACGATATAATAACGAGGGTTTAAACCTCTGTTATGGCTGTCTTCACAAGGAGCGCTAATAATTGGCAAAGTATGTACTACCACGGTATTACTGATACCTACGCTACATAGTCGTAGTACCTGAGATGTCGAGCCTACTGTCACCGTATCGGGACATGGAGCAACATTAGAGAAGGCAATACCAGTTATCTGTAGAGGATGAACATCTACAAAGGTAAAGAGTGGTTTAATATCTGATGGTTTGAAGACTTCGGCCTCTAATTTGAAATCGATCGTAAAGAGAGAGATTGAACGGTTGTGACCAGCAACCGCTATAACAAATTGAGTTTCATTCTGGGTGTCCAAACAGTTTGTCGCATTATTGAGATCAACGATGCAGAGACCTGTGGCTTTAGAGAAGTATTTTGGGAGGCGGATAGATTGCACTGTTCGAGCTGGTCTAAATTTGCTGGGTGTAACCTTGACAATCTCTAGCACTACTCCAGTGTTTCTGTAAAGATTGGAGAGTGTTATAAGATGATCCTTTGTAAGCCACCTTAGTGCTCTTAAGGTAGCAGTCTTGGGCTTTCCGCCATTTGAAAGAGGCGTGATTGGTATACATTCTGATCCTGAAATATCAGTCTTAGGCGTAATTTCAGTCACAAAGATATCATGATCTTCGCAATAGGCGAGTAGATGACTCTCCTCCTCAACTTGTATAATATCGACATCTACTGCCTCAGCTTTACACGGCAAAGAGCCTCGTTTTTTCGGTGCACCGTGGGGTTGCGTTTCAAATAACGCAATCTCTGAGCGCTTAGCCAGACCAGTCGTTATAGCTCCTAGTTGTGATTTTGATACGAGTGGCTTCGCTAATCGAGTAATACGCTGATAGGAATCTTTTTCGACTCTGGAAAACAGTCTGAGTTTTGTCTCTTCGCGGATATTTGGTCGGTCATTTTTCTCGTGCTCGAGGCTGATGTCATAAATCCGAAAATGCGAGTTTTCGCCGTTTTTAATTTCTTTGGGGCTGGCGTTAACGCCAGCGTAAACTAAATGATTTAGTCCAGTCGCCAAGCTCGTAGGGTTATCCTCCTCTTTGCTCAGTTCGATATCCGCAACTTCTACAAGCTTCTCCGGATTTGATGCGTCTAGTACGGTCTATCTAGCGAATTAGTAAAATCAAGTGTGTAGGCAAATCATACTTACAATCTTATTCCCTATCCCAGTTCTACTGGCACCGCCGCCACCGCCAACGACTAGCTTGGTAGAATTAGCGGGATCAAAGTCGCAGGCATAGAGCGGGTAAGGTAGAGTGATCTTTGCTGAGGATGATTTCAATGGGGCCATAATTGAGGTGTATGTGGTGGTCTTTCGGGTTAGATGATCCTATTGGAGGAGAGTACAGCTGTTGCGATGATCAGCCGCCATTACCACTGGCTAGCAAGGGCAGGGGGCTACTGACAAAATAACCGATGACACTCCCGCTCTATATGACCAGCTATCGCTAATTGTATCCCTACTGAATTCACGGCCTGCTTGCATATCATGCGTTTTGTTGTATTTATAATCTTACCAGGACAAGTAGGCCCAATCTACCTACAGCCCGGTATCATCCACGCCTTTAATGGGGTACATTCTCCACCGTCTCCTTCACAGCTTCGATTCAGTGTCAATAACCCCACAGATATTCATTTGAGAACATACGTAGAGCCGTTATCCCGCCAATGTTCACCTCTCCAGCTGACAAAATAAAGGCAAATTACATGCCTTGAACCGTAGAGAAAAATCCGAACTCCCACAAGGCGTGAGATTCTTCTAATCATAACATCAGGATCAAGAGTGAAGACATGGCTACCCTTCGAAAGCGTTGTGCAGACAAAGAAGAATTCTTCATCTTCCAGTGTTGCCAATGAAAATGTTCTTTATGCTCTGCATTTTTAGGGTAGCAAAGAAAAATTGCATCTGAATCGATGTCGAAAGCAACTGCAAGCATATTTAAAATCGGTGACTTCTCATCAAAATCAGACCTGGCGTTCTCGCGCGAGTCCTCTGGATTGATTTTACCATAAATCACTTCGCATCAACGACTGATATAGTAGCTGCTGCAATTGCGGAAGGGAGCTTGACTCTTCAATGACCGCTCATCACCTACAAAAGAATTACTGTGCTACGTATACTCGTGAAGAGAAAATAAGTCGCAAAATTTAAAGCCTGGATCTTGGCTTATGGGGGACCGATGCTGTAATTGAGCCCTACAACTCGAGGAAAAATATGCAGCTTAGATGAGATATCAAAGAGAAAAGAAGTCATTACTAGGTATGCTAGGACTCACATTTTTCGAGGGGTTTTAACGTCGGGGTGCTTGTGGGCGCTAAGGCTATGACTTCGGATAGTGCTACCGGAAATTTAAATGTAGGAAACAATTTGTTTAATTCGGTACAAAGAGGTGAGAGAAAATGACCCAAGTCAGTACGGAACGGTTAGCGCAGGTAAAGGTGTTGAGGTAGAAATAAATTGATGGATGGGATCAGCGGGTGTTGGCGACACGTAGGGCACCGGACCTACGAATTGTGTAATGATATCTCCTGGCTCATATTGAATTGGTCACCTTGGTATTACTCAATTCTTCTGGATCAATTTCCCTTGTCAAGTCAAATTAGACGCAGGGCTTGTGCCTGGCACGTTAAAATAACAAACACGTTGCTTTACTGGAAGTGGGGTCCTATGTTGACTTAATCAGTCTACTCACTGATTGTATTTGGAAATGTTCTTATTATACTACTTGCTTGAAATGGACTACTTAGCTAAGTTTAGGATCGAAATAAATTACAAGATTTCGAGGCGGCACGGAGGAGCTAGTGGAGGGCAAGACTGAACACCTGTACGCGGTGCCCTCTACAAACCTGGGAGTGAAATATTCTCCCAGAGCCAAGTTCAGTCAAATTTCGCAAAATCAAAGTTGGCCCACGAGGCAAAATTTAAAATTACTCCACCACGTCGTTTTTCCGCTCCCAACGAGTTTGGCGCCTACCTGAGTCTTATCAAGTCTACAAGTACGACCTAGTACATCCTTATTTCAATGATCACACCTCTCGTAGACCTTCTCTGGTCTCAGTTGACCACCAAATACACGCCCACGCCGATATTTATACCCGACGGAGGAAGCAAAGCGTGGCGCACAAATCTGGGAGACAGTTCTTTGGGATGGACGTGAGAGGGATCAGGACAAGTTTACAAGATGATGCAAAGGAAGGATATAACCTTGAAGGGAGTGAAATTCCGAATTTTGGCAAGCAGATTTACGAATCGAGCTTTGTGCGCGCCAAGACTTCGCTTGTGAGAGTGCAGCTGACACTATAAAAACAAGCCAACGATGGAAGGTGTCGTGGTCCGCCTCCTGGTGGTGTTCTCTGGTATGGTTTGAGTAGCCTGGGCACCTACTCCACTTGGGAAAGAGACACCTCAGATCACATATCGCGCGGAGAATAGTTGAAAGATGACGAAGGCATGTCTGGATAACTCAGGGTTTTTGAGACGTTTTCCCGGGTGGGTATTCACGGATGAGGGTTGACTTGGGGTGAAGAAAAAGCCACCATAACTTCGCAGTGGTACTAGCAAATGAAATCTGAGGCATGAGTGCTCTTCCTTTACGTTGAATCATCTATTCTGTACTTTTCTTTGATATTGTGTCATAGCTAGATAGCTGCATACGCAATTAAAATCTGATGCAAAAAAAAAAAAAAAACAAAAGGAGGAGCTAGTGTTGGGATACTTTAACAGGTGTAAAGAAAGTGATCTATGAAATATTAGTAACAATAATACATTTATGTCCTATTTGAGTTTCCAACTATACAGGACAGGCTAATAAAATACAAATTTTTCATTTCATTCTAATTGGAGGCTTCCTTCATTTAATGGTAGTATCCCCATTACTGGTTCACCGGGGGAGGGGGGGGTTATGAGATGTTTGTGCAGTCATGTTGGTGGAACTTTTCTCTTCTCCTATTCTACAAAAGATACAAATGCCCGCAATGGGTAATAAATAATTTATAGCTAGAACTAGAAGGTCAACAGAGAATCTCATTGGTGTAAATTGGTGACTTCTGATCGCAGAAAGCACGCAAGAAACTCTCTTAAAGCAAACACATAACTCTATACTGATCCGAACTTAGCTGTAGGACTTCCTTTCCTCAAAGTTTTATAATTAATGTAATATATTTGCAACATTTTCCAAGCATTCTGTAATGAAAACTTTACAAAATTTAATCGACTAATATCAAGAAATCTGTACTTGGTCTTCCCCTCCCTTTGCCGTAAATGCAAGAGCTCGCGGAGGATTTATTGGCTGGAGGATCTAGGATGATTTATAACAAGGTGGTTTGAACTATTGATATCTTGATAGCTTGATATTCATAAATAAATAGAGATCAGAGGTCGAGAAAGCATCTCATATACACATCTGAAGTTACTAAACGCTCTATCACAGGGGGAGGGTGAGAGGTGCGCGCAAGAGTCTTACACGTGAATAGTGTAAATAAGAATGAGTTAATTAGTCTTGCCACGCAAAGGCCTCTAGATACTCAGTTTATCGCTGAAGTTTAAATCGCAACTGCAAATTTACTGCCGTGACCTGAGGTATGATAGGGCAATAAAATTGGCAGATATCCTGGCGCTCTTTGTCAGGTATCCCGAGACAGTTGTGTATACGAGGACGTCGCTGTTATGCTAAACATGTCTCGACATATAAACTGCATCAACTTGCTTGATACATTTGTATATGTTTCGTCCAGAGATTAGATGTTACACTAATTAGCCTAATACAATGACTAGCCCAATGTACTGACTAGCCTAATATGCTACAGTCTCAACATGAATAGGCTGCTAGCTGAAACGGCGGGAGAGTCTTGAAGGAATCTTGGACGGGAATATATGTATCTTAGATTTCTAGAAAGTAAAGGGATATACTGTTTTTCTCTCATCATCTAGATCTATGTCATTTTTTACAACTGCACAGGACAGTCCCTTACATTCCTGATAGTTATGAGCCCGGATTGACGCCTTATAGCTCATTATTTTTCGATTAAGAAGCTCGAGAATAAGATATTTATATATATTTTTTTACCCATCTCGAACTGTATAGAAGAATAAATTTTCAGATTAAATCACCTTGTAGTATTCAACTATGGCATTCTTTAAAGCAGGTTCCCTCACTAAAGAAAATTATATAGAATGGTTTGACACAATCCAAGGTCATGCCACTGATAGCGGTATTTGGAAGATGGTCGATCCGTCAGGTACAGTGATTCATGAGGAGCCTAAGAAGCCTATTTTTTCGGACTACAAATCAACTGCTACTAAATTTGCAGACTTGGATGATGACGAAAAGTCGATGTACAAAGAGGACAATGCTCAGTATCGAATCGAAATACAGAGTTTTAAACAAGAAAGCAGGATAATTGGTGAGCTCAGAGCAAAGATAATCGAGTCTTTACATCCAAACCACCGAAAGTTAATATTTGGTTTCATGACATGTCGAGAGGCTCTTATCCAAATCAAGAACAGACTTGAGCCATCAGAAGATATTCAAAGAATGCAAGTATTCGATGATTACACGAAAGCACGCGCCGCTCCATCGAGTAAGAACATCGACTCCTGGCTGATGGAGTGGGAAAGATTAGACATAATGATCAAAAGACTGAATATTGCTGATATTAGTGATTATAAATTAATCCAAGATTTTTTATCATCATCAAACTCCATCTTACCCATCTGGGTCACAAATAAAAGAATGGAAATTTTAAGAGTACCAAACAAGACGACACTCAAATTTCTCGAAGTGTTACTGGAATTTCGGCAATTTTGGTCATTGACCGAGTTTGAATCATCATCCAATACAACAGCATTTCCTGCAAGTTTACAAGGTCTACACCAGCCGTCACCGCCATCCAAAGGTGATATCCACAGTCCAACAGATGTTATTCGACCCCAATACCAAAATGGACAGGCAAGACTTTGTCTTTGCGGGAAGAGACATACTGGAAAAGAGTGCTATTACCTTGCTGAAGGAAAAGCACCAGCGGAGTTCAAACCGGACAATAAGGTAGCGGAAAAATTTAAAGAGGCTTGTGACCGCCATAAATTTAGAACTTTCGTCAGGAAATCGGAATGGACATCCAATTGGCTAAAAGAATATATTAGTTCAAAGTGGCCAGTGAAAGATGAAAACCGGGATACTATCAACCAAGGTTCGCAAGATAAACATAACGCTCATGGAATATTTACCACTTCCGTCGGGTTCACTAGTTTAACTACTAGACTGGCACATCCGCTTCAAAATGAGATTTTAC